CGCGTATCACTCCGCGCAGTTAAGGGCAGCGTGTCACAATACAAAAGGTTTTCAACCCGAATGATCCGTATATGTCAATATGCATGATCAAACTTCAATCGTCAATCAAATACCTACCGTATTTTCATTGTAGACCTGCGGCTGTGTGTGAGAGAGAATAGATAACGGGTGACTCTGATCATGAATGCCAGTTAACTTAAAGGCAGTGCAGACTTTTCAAATTGGTGTTATCTGTTCAAATATTCCACATGAAAGCGCACATCTCAAGCATGGAGTTAAAATACCTCCATGTCTCAAGTGAACACGCCGTTCAGTTTGTTGATGCTGTTGTTCTTTGCACTGCACGAAATGTTGGATTTAGCAATGCCAGGTAATTAGTCAAGGGCGGTGGAGACTTTTCAAATTGGTGTTATCTGTTCAAATATTCCACGTAAAAGCGCATATCTCAAGCATGGAGTTAAAATACCTCCATGTCTGAAGTTAACACGCCGTTCAGTTTGTTGACGCTGTTGTTCTTTGCACTGCACGAAATGTTGGATTTAGCAATGCCAGGTTATTTGGCAAGAGCGGTGGAGACTTTTCAAATTGGTGTTATCTGTTCAAATATTCCACGTAAAAGCGCATATCTCAAGCATGGAGTTAAAATACCTCCATGTCTCAAGTGAACACACCGTTCAGTTTGTTGATGCTGTTGTTCTTTGCACTGCACGAAATGTTGGATTTAGCAATGCCAGGTAATTAGTCAAGGGCGGTGAAGACTTTTCAAATTGGTGATATCTGTTCAAATATTCCACGTAAAAGCGCATATCTCAAGCATGGAGTTAAAATACCTCCATGTCTGAAAGTGCCGTAATCCCGTTCAGTTTGTTGACGCTGTTGTTCTTTGCAATGCACGAAATGTTGGATTTAGCAATGCCAGGTAACTAGTCAAGGGCGGTGAAGACTTTTCAAATTGGTGTTATCTGTTCAAATATTCCACATGAAAGCGCACATCTCAAGCATGGAGTTAAAATACCTCCATGTCTCAAGTGAACACACCGTTCAGTTTGTTGATGCTGTTGTTCTTTGCACTGCACGAAATGTTGGATTTATCAATGCCAGGTAATTAGGCAAGTGCGGTGAAGACTTTTCAAATTGGTGTTATCTGTTCAAATATTTCACATGAAAGCGCACATCTCAAGCATGGAGTTAAAATACCTCCATGTCTGAAAGTGCCGTAATCCCGTTCAGTTTGTTGACGCTGTTGTTCTTTGCAATGCACGAAATGTTGGATTTATCAATGCCAGGTAATTAGTCAAAGGCGGTGAAGACTTTTTAAATTGGTGTTATCTGTTCAAATATTCCACGTGAAAGCGCATATCGCAAGTGAACACGCCGTTCAGTTTGTCGATGCTGTTGTTCTTTGCAATGCACGAAATGTTGGATTTAGCAAAGCCAGGTAATTAGTCAAGGGGGGTGGAGACTTTTCAAATTGGTGTTATCTGTTCAAATATTCCACGTGAAAGCGCATATCTCAAGTGAACACGCCGTTCAGTTTGTTGACGCTGCTGTCCTGGGCACTGCACGGAATGTTGGATTAAACAATTCCAGGTAATTGTCTGGTAATGTTTTGTTTTTGGCCTTGGATGCTTTAGGCAAATATTATCAGACTCCAACCATCACCTTGTCCCATCTTAAGACGTCCAATTGCAATTTATTATATAAAATTAACCTTATACAGAAGTACAAGGTGCATGTACAACTGAATTTTGCTGAAACATACAATTATCACACAATATTGTAGAAATAACTACTGGTGATATATTTAGCATCTTATTAAAAATGATACCTTAGCCACACAGAAAACACCAAATTACTTCACGGAGAACTGTGTCCTAAGGACTCTTGTTTAATATTTCACACGCATATATCACACTTGCAGTCCTAAGACTGAATTATGGTGATAATACATAAATTATTATTAACTTATACAATATAAGACTAAAAGTTAAAAGATATAATTACACAACAAATTAACAAAGTTATTGCACTCAAACACACCACATATGCACGATACAATAAAAACTGGTACAATATATTAGTTAAAAACTGCACGTTCGTGTACTATATGAACTCGGTTCAAATTACTAGTATTAAAATTCATAACAACATTTCTATTATTTGTATAGGATTTGTAAACGTAAGAAGGGGCGAGTTGAAATACATAGAGTATTACGTCGATGAAAGTTAGACATCCAGGTAATACGATATGCCAAAAAGCAGTTACTCAAGCAACTGGGTATGATTTTCCAAAATCATAGTCAAGTCAAGTCAATCTTTATTGCACAACAATTGTAACGGGTACAATGTAAGGCAAACTCTTCAGTACTACATATCAAGCTAGCATCTACTCTCACGTATACAGTATTACCTACAAGTTCTATGTATCGAAAATAATATTCTATTTCAAAAGTTAATATAGTACATGTATATATATATATGGAACATGGCTGACATGATAATGTACAAGTTTTTATATATGACTGTATAAACTAGATTGTACATCAGTTGGTTGAATCAGATATGATATGATTTCTTTTAACTAAAGCTTTGGATATATACTGGCCTATGTACAGGGAAATTTCGTCGGAACATGACATGAGAAGTGTAAAAGTATCTGAGATTGTTTTAGGTAATGTTATATGTGCCTTATTGGTGATCGCATCCATAAGTGTTTCTCTTTCTTCGGTGTAGGACGTACATGATAACAGAAAGTGCATTTCATCTTGTACAGTATCCTTGCAAGTCTGTGAGTGTCTGGTACATTGTTATTGCTTGAGTAACTGCTTTTTGGCACATAGAGTATTTACTTAATATGTGTCCTGCTCGTTCAGAAGGGTTGTCATATAGGGGATAGGACTTTTTTGCTATCTATTCGTACGTGCTTTAAAAGAGTCAAGTAGATGTGATGATCTTGTTGTTTTAGCACTGATCCCACTGGGGTATGGGGGTAGCCAGTCTAAAAGTCTCTGAATGCAGCAGTCGTGTAGCGAAGTTGTAGCACAGCTGGCGGAGGCGGTTTTCTTATGCTGAGGTCACATTTCCAAACCGGGGCTCGGTCGGGCAGCTTTCGGGAACGAAAAGTATGATATAAAAGAAAACAAAACAAAACACAGAAACGTTTTTGATAATAATCATGGGCACTATATCTATATACTCTTGATATGGATTGTTAATTTTTCGTTCATACAAACTGCCCGGCCGGGCCCTGGTTTGGAAATGTAACCTAAGCATAAGGTAGGCAAGTCGTGTTGTTTCCATGCCTCTGGGTAGAAAGTGTAAGCGGGGCCCAATATTGTCCGACAAGCCCTTACACAGCGTCTCTGAGAAGCAATTGAACATCACTAGCCTTTCACCAGACCTTTCTAAGTGGTTATGATGGTAAGATTCGAAGGAAATTCGTTAGGAAAATTAAATATTGTTCTTCCGTATTTCACACACCACACATCCGCACACACCACACATATACATACACAGACACATGCACACACACACACACACACACACACACACACACACACACACACACACATACATACACACACACACACACACACATACAGAGGCAGGCGCACCTAAACGGTATCTCCGATTTTTACTGAAGTAATTAATGAAATGCAATACAAAAATGATACAATTACTATATCAGTACCATAAAAGATACATAAGACACCAAGTACATATTGCAAGTAGATGTGCTATACGGTTTACATAGATCATAAATGTGGAATATCTAGAGTGTATCTAAATATGCATGTCCATATTATAGATCCGGCGTATCTATCTATCTAGATATTGAAGATATGAAATCTCTTATTGCAATATAATGTGTCAACAAAAAATAAAATTGTTTAACATGTACAGTGAGTAATTGTTGAAATACAACAATGTGTATTGACTCATTGTGGATGTACAGTAAGGCGCGGTTTCATAGTAGTTTTATAGTCAGCACAGCATTACAATTATAACGTTATACTCGATCGCGTAGTACAGTTTATAAAATTCCATAAAAGTAGCCCATTACTTTTTCATATATGACTAATTGATATCTATCGCATATTCTTCATATATTGACTTTTAAAATACACTAGAGATGCTATTTCAACAGACTAAACTTAAGGTAAATTACCCTAACTATTAGTGTTAATGATGAATTATTGTGCATTTTGCCGCACTGGGCTAAGCACGGACCACATATTACCAGTCTTATACAATGTATGTAACGTGAGATTTTTTTCGACTTCCTCTCGCTTCGTGGTCATTGTGATAATGTAGATGGCTCTGTGAGTAGTTAGAGTTGGTTAATCGAAGGCTGCAATGAATATAAATTTCTTTGTACTGTTCAAATACCTAAAATTTGAAAAAAAATTAACTTAATCAAAAAGATGGCTTCTTTTGTTATCAATCGAAGTTAATAGTAAACCAAGAGAGACTATGCTAAGCAAATGCATCTTTGTTACATGTATCACTATCGCGTATATCTGATCTATTGATTTGATTTTTACTAGTTTGCACATTAAACAAAACAGACAGTAATAATACAAAACAAGGATAAAAACAGGTGCAGGAGGAGGAGGGGAGAAGCATGGAATGCTTATACAAGGCCCTCCTCCTCTAAACTTTACAAAATTAAATATAATCAATAAATGGAAATAATACAATAGAAAATGGAAATAATACAATAAGGATAATCAAGTAATATACGGTATAAATTAATGAAATAAGGTAATGTAAGTTATAAATGCAGTGCAATAATGATAATGATAATAATTCTTATGAGTTAAAATAAGACAGAACACTAAATGAAACTACTACAGGGGGCTAGGTTCGAATATCAGATGGTTTTTCAGAGCTTGTTTGAGTGAGAGAAGAGACAAGGATTCTTTAGGGCTGGAGCTAGTTCATTCCATAAGGTGATACCTTTGTATCTAACCGACATTTGGGCAAATGAAGTTTTTACTAGGGGGATATGAAAATGGGAACGTTTGCGAGTTTACAAAGCAGCCTTCTTTGGTTTTTGTGTTTGAAGAGGAATTCTCTCAAACGATTCTGGCCCTGTTATCTTATAATTCGCATTTCGGAAACTAACAGGATCGGCAAACATTTGGAGAATGGAGGATATAGCCGTCAATACGCATGTCTGTGGGATCTGCTTGCATTTAGCCAGTTTTGCTAAGTCCTCGCCATAGTCGTCATCTATCTGAAATATAGTGTGGGCGTAATGTGGTGGCAATCCCGCTTCTACACGGCGCTTAAAATCTTCGGCAACTTCTTCATCCATGACTATCTTAGAGGGGAGACTCAGCCTACCCGCTAACACACCTACAGCAAATTTTACCTGGATTTCAAACAGAGGAAACGTCGGAGATTCATGTAAAATCCCTATAAACGACATGGTAGGGTAGCACGTGTTGATGATATATTTGTATAACGGGTAAGCTCTGCCCTGATCCACTGTGATGCCACAGTCGGGAGTTAGGAAGGGAAACCTGAGGCGGTAGCCTGTACAGTAGATAATGTCGTCTGCGTGGAACTCTTGTCCATCCAGAAACCTGACGATATTTGGACCTATGATAGTCTCTACTCTGCTAGCCTGGCTGACATTAGGAGGGAGTTTACCCAGTTTAAGTAAGGGAGGGTTGGAGTGACTGATGACGACACGCTCGGCCACCTCGGCGATCTGCACACACAGGTCTAAACCTGAGTAAGAGGCCCCGATGATGACGACGTTCTTCCCACGGAACGGGTCAGGGACCCGGTAGTTGTGACTGTGCACGGTCCCGCCCTGGAACCGGTCCGCACCGGGGATGGCCGGGACATACGGGAAGGAATACCGCCTACAGATAAAAAATGGATGAAATGAGATGTTTTTTTTTCATTCATTCCATGCCGTCACCATTCATTTCATACATGGTGACGGCACACTCAGTTTTTTTAATTTTTCTGTCGCTACCAAAGAAGAGAACAATAGACAATACCCATTTTCACCCTAATATTTAAGGAAAGTCGTGTAAAGTGCCAAGGGCAAAGATGGGTGGCATGGCAGGATTCAAACTCTGGACCTTGGTTCCGAGCCGAACACTCTGCCGCTACGCTACATGTTGGTCCTCCGTAAATAATTTCATCGGGTTGGCGAATGATAATTTGAATTTCTATTTCCCCCTGTCTTCATCCCTCTTTTTCTGCCCTCCTTCCTTTCCCCCCTCTCTCCATTCCTATTTCCATTCCCTTCATCCCTCCCCCCCTCCCCTTTCTTTTGTCTCCCCCTGTCCATTCCTATTTCCCCCTCTTCATCTCTCTTTTCAGCCCCTCTTCTTCCTTTTCCCCTATCTCCTTTCTTTTTCCTTCTCTCCTCCCTATTTTCCCCCTCTTCATTCCTATTCCCCCTCTCTTCATCCCTTTGTCTCCCCCTCACATTCCTTTTTCTCCTCCTCTCTCCTTTCTATTTCCCCATCTCTTCATCCTTTTTTCTCCCCTTCTCCTTCCTTTTTCTCCATTCCTATTTTTCCTCTCCACCCCTTTTTCTCCCCTCCCCTCCCCTCTCCTTCCTTTTTTCTCCCCCTCCTTCATTTCCCCCCTCTCCATCCCTATTTCCCCTCTCTCCATTCCTTTTTTCTCCCCTTCATCCCTCTTCCAATTTTCTCCCTCTCATCCCTCTTCCAAGTTTCTCCCTCCCTCTATCGTCCTTCCCATCTCATTCGCTCTCTCTCTATCCCTGTCCGTCTGTCCAGACGTACCCAGTACAAACCATGACTGCATCAAACTGCTCAGTGCTGTGTTTGTCTGGAGCCGTGACGTCAGAGATCGTGACGCTCCATTTCACGGTGCCGTTAACTTGAACAGGCTTCACCGCGTCAACCCTGGTCTGGAACTGTAGAACAAAACAATCGGTTATAAGATGCCAAAAGAAATGTCAGGCCCCAACTCATCTCTCTCGTAGTTGCCCTGATTCTACTGAAATACCTTGATACGTCCTGATGTAGGTCCCACATTCAGAAGCTGCAGATGGTTACCCCCAACCCGTTAGGAAATCCACACTAAAAACCGAAAAAGTATCCAATAACTTCCGATTCCATTGGTACAAAAGGCTTTAAAAAAGATAATAGTTAAGAAACCTCTTGTCTCTCTTGTCTAGTTTTCCTTCTTTTTTTATTTTGTTATACCCCAATTAAAAACGGGTGAAAACAAACTACTATAAAAACCTATGCTACTTTATTCACCTACTGTACAATTACACCTGTTAAATCCTTCTCAGCACCAATACATTTAATGATTCAGTCTAAATGGTAAGAGCTTTTCTGTATTCTTGTAGTTTTACAACGTAATTATATAAATACATACATGTTTTTATTGGTTGTTACGTGATGTTAGTAGGCCCCAAAATGCGCAACTCAGTGTCTATGCAGGAGAACGACAGAAGATGTTGCTATGTGTTTTAGTTTAGTATTTATATAGATATATAGATAGATGTAGATTCATCGTTCATCCCTTCATAGCTTGTACGACAAATTGAAATTGTATGTTGTGTATCACATCGATTACAATGAGGATACCTGAATATACTTGTTTAGTCCAAAGTGCGCGGCATACCCCTCCAGGTACTGCAGCACCTCCTGGCGAGAGAGGTAAGACTGCAGGCTACTCTCGAATGGAAAGTCCGAAAATGGCATCGATTCCTTTGGAATATTTGTCCTTTTTGAGAAAAAATACCCCTTTTCACACACATGAGCGATAATTAAACTAAGTATTCTCATTGTCTTACCGAATTTTGTATCTATAGGCCAACCTATAGTGTGAAATATGACATATTACCGAAGAATGTGTACTACCAATAATCACACACAGCACACGCAAGCACACACACACACACACACACACACACACACACACACACACACACACACACACACACACACACACACACGCACACACACACACACACACACACACACACACACACATCATGCACTTGATTGAGGTATTTTTTCTTCCACGAAATCGAAATGAAGAACAAATGTACAAATATCCTATGATCATACCAAAATGTCGAGTCGGACGTGTTATCAGACTGTGCAAACCTGACTAACTAGTTTGAGCCTAATGAACTTTGAACCAACAGCTACAGTTATAAACTACGAAACTGTAAATTTACAGGTAAAGTACAGGGGAACATGGTCCAAACCTCAGGGTTTTGTACATGCTGGAGTGTACCGGGAGCCCGCTGTCGTCAGTGCCGGTCCGGTCTGTGTACACCCAGGTCCCTCCCACCGCCGAGCCCTGCTCGTACACGGTCGGCGAGAAGCGATCCGGGTCGGCTGACAGATAGCGAGCCGCGCACAGGCCGTTCGCACCCGCGCCGATCACAGCAACACCAAGCACCATTCTTGTGGGAAACAGATCCAGCTCAAAGATATGTTGCTAATGGTGACTCATGATAGTAGTATTGTCGGGGTTAAACATTTAAGACTTTATCAAGGAGTACTGAAGTGGGTGGCTGTGGGCTAACCTTCAAGCTCTAGATAGATCTCTGACCCGGAAGTAGAATTGAACTTTGAACTTTATTCGTCACCTTACAGCAGTGGCACAATCGGTCATGCCGCGTGTAGAATACAAAATGAAAAGCAAATTATATTCAAACATTATGACACACAACTAACAGATATAAATCATAAAGGCAATTATAACAAATTATAGCAAGGGAATGCAAGAAAATTTTGAGGGCCGCGCCCTCTTTCATGTGTTTGTAGTGTGCATGTCACATTGTATCTAGAGGTTTGTTTTTAAACGGTTCACATCAGGACACCCAACTAACACATCTAAATCATAAGGAAATTATAACAAATTAACGTTTAACCAAGGCAATGCAAGGAAATAATATAGGTAAGAAACAATTATGGTATTAGCAATGAATTAGGCCACACCGACTTAATTTTATGGATGACATCCGCGCGCGCATTGATTTTCGCCTGACGCCCTCAAAAAAAAAAAGATCACTTCCTCTGACCTGGCTCTAGGCCAGGGTAGTCCATGGTAGTTAGCGACAATACGGAGCCGGGCACCCAGGCTACCGAAGCTCCACTACTCAAGAACTCGGTACATTGTACAGTGCCGATTCATAAATTCCGCAAAAAGCCAGCATGTGCCGGCTTGTCGTATATGTCGCTAAGTACTGCCACAAATTTACAACACCAGCTTTGTATTCCTGTGGTTAAGTAGCATTTTTATTTTTGGCTGGAATTTTTTTATTCGCCCGCGCGCACTAATTTGGGGGTCTTCGGAGGATGTCATCCATAAAATTAAATCGGTGTGGCCTTAGCTAACTTAAGAGACAGGTAATATACAAAAGACATGTAACAAGAGTTCCACGATCTCATACCTTCGCCAAATGATGTTAACCCTTGCGGGTGACGAATTATACAATTTTAATCATTGATTTTGTAAATAAGAGCCTCGTTTGCATGGATTATATCAGTTGATCATATTCTCCATCCAATGACAGCCTTATCATAACAAAAAGGCTATTATAGCACTTCCTCATAAATTATGCAAATGAGGTCATGATTTGAATTAATTATGTTTATTGATGTTCACCTTCACTTAACTTCCAAATGTGGCAAGTATGAAATTCACAGCAGTTACAACTATGGAATTATAAAAAAATTCCATTAATTATGCAAATTAGGTCCTAATTTACATAATCTATATCCTCAGCTGTTTTTCTCGTTCTCAAGTAGATGTCACAAGTGTTTCATAGGTCTATTATCGAACAAAGCAGATTTATAGAATTTCCTCATTAATTATGCAAATTAGCTCCTGATATGCATAATTGCCATCTGATTATGTCAAGCATCACTTCAACTACCTACATACCAAAAATCACGACAATACGTCAACTGGTTCTTGAGTTATCGTCCTCGAATTTTTTTCAACAAATGCTCCTGCAGTTCCAGAACAAGGCGCTAGGGGACCCAAACTCATGTCACTTCTTCCCTACTCCAAGAGCTATCTATCACCAAAATTCGTGACCCTAACATGTCCAGAACATGAGATATCAAAACCGGAAGTTCAGCTGCAGTACCTAGGAAAGCCGCCAGGGGGCCCAAAATCTAATCATTTCTAGGGCTCATGAAGACCTACCCACCTACCAAGTTTCATTCCAATCCATCCACTGTGTCTTGAGTTATCTTGCTAAAACCACACACACACACACAAACACACACACACACACACAAACGCTACTGAAAACATAACCTTCTTGGCGAAGGTAACAATGTATGATAACTAAAGGTGATAAACTACAATAGGAGGTACAAGGCATGCGTATACATAGGAAATGGAACATAAGGATAACGTAATTAGTAATTAATAGTGCAGAGTAAAAGAAAAGTGATGAATTTAATAATCCAACAATACCAAGCCTTGGGGGGGAACAGGGGTAAGTGCTTATTGATGTGGCAACATTTGTGTTAAGCCCCTGTCACACATAACCAAATATGGCCTTGGACCGGAACACTAGCTGAACACTCACTGTGGGGTCGTGTGGTGTAGCGGCAGTGTGCGCGACTCGGAACCTAGAGGTCCCGGGTTCGAGTCCTGACATGCCACCGATCCTGTGCCCTTAGGAAAAGCACTTAACACGACTTTCCTCACTTCGCTCAGGTGAAAATGAATATTGTCCTGTCATGTATTTGTCCCCTGTGTTGGTGGCGGCATTAATATAAGTTGAAAAAACTTGAGTGTGCCGTCACCACGTCTGTGTTTATTCCAAAATTACATGTTGGAATAAAAATAATAGAAAAAAAACACTAGCTGAACTCTCGCAAACATTGGTTTAGTCTAGGGGCAGGAAGGGAAGCACGGTTAGCTGGACCGGCTGGTGCTCGGGCAAGTCAGCTACTCTCTGCTCACGGCCTCAGCCGAAGGTTTCAAAATGCTAAAAATATTTGGGTGTGGATGGGAGACTTGCCATGATTGGATGGTGTAGTTCGGGGCGTGGTTGGCAGTCAAATTTGACTCAAGCTTAACTAAAATTCGATTCGATTCGATTCCTATAGAAAGGGAGGCGTGGCTTAAATCTTGCCAGAATGCTCCCGGTTGGTGTTCCGGGGGGATATATTATATAGAGATATAAATATAGATATGGAAACGGACATGTACTGTAGCCTCTACCAGGCTTCGGGAGGTGGCTGGAATAGGTAGACATTGACCAAATGGAGAGATAACATGTCGTCAGCTAGTGCAGTTTGCCGCAACCGTTGAAAAAAGCCAGGTTTTCAACTTTTGTTTATACACCCGAGAAGATAAATTCCCCCAGGACCTGAACGAGGTTTTGAGAGACAAGAAACAGAGGCAGGACCGGGACAGCCGCTATTGATGCTCAACGATTCAGACAGGCCTGGATTCAGAGGTCGATCTCAACAACTAAATCTATTTCACTGTGATAAAGGACTAAGGTCAGGACACTTCACATTTTAATAGACTGTTCAACAAGTGAGGGAGAAGTTATAGAGTCTTAGATTTTATTCACCATTAAAAAATCACACCCTTCACTACCAATAAGTCCATCACATTAAAGTAGAGCTGAACAAAAAACAAGAATTTGGAGATCTTATACCTCCATGAAATATTTTGAATTTTTGTAAATGTTTTATTATTTGTCTCATTGACCATGGAAATAAGGTCGTAATTAGCATAATCTAGTTTAATTTATGGTTTTCTAAATTCAAATGACAATATTTTTCGTATAAAATTCCTTTCCTTTGTCATACTTCATTTCAACATGTCCTCATTAATTATGCAAATGGATTCTACATCAACATAATATATGCAAAGTCGTGGTAACCTTTAAGGTCTCGGACCGGAGTTTTTTTCACGATTTTGGATCCGGCGGACACCCTCAGACCGAAGGGCTATAACTCCGCCAAAAAAAGTACGCCGGGAAATCTCATTACATCAGTCAACTGAGGTTTCCAGCCGGCTTCCGATACAATTTTGGTTATTGTCCGTCGACTCTATAATTTGGGTAGAAACTGTAGTTAAACGTAAATTTTGGATACGAAAAATGTAGTTTTTTTGCAGTTTTTTCAACGGACCTGCTTGGAAAAAACGAATTTTCCCAGGCTAACGGCTTATATGCTGAAATAGCTTACTACTTTCTGTTTACTGAAAAACAGAAAAAAAATATAGGTTGTTGCGATAAGTTTTTCACAAAATCCGGTGACGCGAACCCCTAGAAATTCCACATAGAACGCAGCTATTTGGGTCATCAGGCGACAAACCGCATCACCCTTGCTCGCGGACTAATACCAAAAACGCTTCGCTGGCCGTCCAACTTCACCGCGCCGAAAAACACTACAATCCCAAGGCTTTTTGATCAATTCAAAACCTAGTTGAAAATCTACAGCGATCACCGAGCTATGGGGAGCCAAACCTAGCGTGACAACCTCGCAGATCCGGCGATTTACTGCGCACTATTTGGAACCCTGGTCAGAATTAAACTCCGACCCGGAACCTTAAGTAACTTACACATGTCACAAGGTATAAAATTCCCATCATTCACCAGAATTTTCAGAGTCCAGAATCACAGAATTTTCACATTAATTATGCAAATTAGATCATCATTTGCATAATTGGTATCCGTTGGTGTTCCGACTGCCACAGATTAAATACATCACATGTATAAAGGTACTATTATATAAAAACACTGTAATTATAGAATTTCCTCCTTAATTATGCAAATTAACTCATTTGCAAAATTTGCATTTAATTATGTACAACCCTAGCTCTCTGTCACCTACACAGCAAAAATTATGAAAATATCTGGACTTATTGGATTTTAAGATTTCGACAGAAAGTCCCCTGCAGTTCCAGAACAAGCTGCTAGGGGGACCAAACCCACACCACTTATAGGAATAAATACAGGAAAAGCTACTGTCACCAAAAAGTCAAGACCATAGCATGTTCAGGACAAAAGATACAGAAACCGGAAATTCTGCTGCAGTACCAAGGTTATCCACCAGGAGGCCCATATTTGACCTTGACCTTTGTCTTACCAAGACTTACCAGCATACCAAATATCATCACAATCCATTAAGGCGTTATGAAGTTATACTGACAAGTGTGCGGAAACACAAACACGCACGCACACACACACACACACACACACACACACACACACACAAACAAACAGATAGACACACACATTCAGACACACCAAAAACAATACCTTCATTTTTCATGGAGGTAGCAAAATTTTACATTTAACCAAGACAACAGTTTTGCAGAAAAGAGTCACTCCAGTCAACATTAAAATTGAAAGGAATAATTATTGCCCCATAATTCTAGAATTGAATTGAAGTTGTTTATTGCAAATCCCTGCACCCGAGGGCTAATTGCATACAGACATTGACAAGAAAATGTGGTGATACATGTATAAGACTATTTGCTAACAGGAACTTCTACGTGTACGATATACATATCGAACCTACTATCTCTACTTAAATCTAATAACGTTGGTAAACATACAGGATAAAAAAGTAAATATGCAATATGTGAACAGGTAATAGGAGCAAGGTAACTGCTATTCTAATCTATTCTATTCTATTAAACTATTCTTGTCATGCTATTAGGGGGTTTGACTTTTTCTCAGGAGGCAGTGGGAGATGAATTGTCCGACTCTTTGAAAAATAAATGGGTTGGGGGACTTTAGCAATAATATAGTCTTTTGTTGTTGGTTGAGATATGAAAAACTTGGGGAAATATTGGCGACTTCTTTGAATAACATTTTTCTTTCAAAATCGTAATGAGAACACTGACAGATAAAATGCATTTCATCTTCCACTGCTCCCTCTGTACAGTATTTATAGAATCTTTCGCTTACAGGCAGTTTCTTATATCTTCCTCTCTCTATCTCTAATATGTGAGCGCTTAGTCTCATTTTACATAGAGATGATCATCAGGGTGATGCAGATAGGTTTCAATATTGTAGTCAGATTTTAGTGACGCTGAAGAAGAGTGATGGATGTCACTCGAAACGTCCGGAAATAAATAAAAATCCGTAACTGATCCAGTATTAGAGTTTGAATTTTCTTACGAGTATCGTTTACCTGGATGTCTAACCTTCATCAACGCATAGGGGACAATATTTAATTATCTTTGATGATTGAAGTGACTGACGGGTGCCCAGTTTTATCAAATCTCATTATTCTTTTAGGTAAATAAGTACACTACGTATTTAAACATCGCCATAAATAATAAGCAGTTAGACGTATCAAATGTAACTAAAGAGTGAAATATGCTGAAATGTGAGTTGTCTAAATGTACATGCCCGTTAACGAAACATGTTTTAAAAAAAACTAAAAGGTCAGAAAGGTCAAACAGGTGGTCATTGGGTCGCGGGTTGTGATCTTATCTGAACTGGTTTATCAACATTAGGGTTAGCCATTTTGGATGTATTACGCCCAGCAGCAAGCCGACAGTAGTTTGTTTATTTCGCATTATGGAGGTTTAAACCGGCAGTTTTGTAAAATACACAAGTAAAAGCTGTGTATGACCGGACTGTAAGGTTTGAACCACTCACACCGGGAAGGTCTCCTGTTTTCTTTCGATCAGTGCGGTAGGATCTTTATCGTGCTCGAGCAAGGCAACTACATCTGAGAAGACGTCCCCAACTGAAGCGAGGTACTCATTTATACCTGAGTCAAGTGAGGAAATAGGTGTAAAGTGCCTCTCACGATTGCAAGGACACAGAAGTGGACCTTGCCAGAGGATTCGAACACAGAACCTTCAGATGCTGTGACAACAATCCTGACTACAAGACCACCTTGTCACCGATTGACCCACCGCAACAGACCGACGTTTAACAGGTAAACACATGCTTGACGAACAAATCGGAAAAAAGCTAATATTTTTTTTATATTATGGTCTGAAAAAGAGAAGTCAAACCCCTTAGACATAGTTTTAGACATAGCTTTAGCTCTACACAACTACCTTTTATCATGTAGATTTTAGTTATTTTATACTACGTTTCATTGTTCTTTTATGTTTGTAATCTGCAATTATAGCCCCCCGGGCATGAATTTGCAATAAACTTCTATACCAATGCAATGTATTGTCTAAATCCTATAATGGTCTCTTTTTTTTTCTTTTTACAGAAGACAGTCACATCGTCGTGACTCGATGAAAACATACAAAACTAGAGTTCGATGATCTCATACCTCCATGACATGTGTATTGCTTTCATAAATCTTACGCATGGTGATGACCAACTGTAATTGTCTTACATTTTTCACCGCATATATTCAAATTATATGAGGCCATTTGCATATATTGTATCAATTGATCATACTCTCCACCGAATGACAGGGTCATCTTAAGAAATAAGGCTATTCCAGCGTTTCCTCATAAATTATGCAAATGAGGTCCTGATTGAAATAAATTATGTTTAGTGATGTTCACCCTCACTGAACTTCCAATTATGGCAAGTATTAAACTCCCAGCAGTTACCACCATAAAATTGTACCAATTTGCCATTTATTATGCAAATTAGGTCTTCCTTTACATAATCGTTATCAGCCAATGATCTTGTCGTTCTCACTAACATATGTCTATAGAGTTTTATAGCCCTAATATGAAATACAGCAGATTTATAGAATTTCCTCATTAATAATGCAAATTAGATCCTGATTTGCATAATTGTATTTTGATTATGTCAAGCATCACTTAAGCTACCTACATACAAAAATCATGATGATCCATCAAACGGTTGTTCAGTTATCCTCTCTCGAAGATTTTCAAAGAAACCATCCTGCAGTTCCAGAACAAGCCGCTAGGGGGCCCAAACTCACGTGACTTCTTCCCGAGGACATGAGCTACCTACCATCCAAAATTTCCTACTTGTTCATGCAGGAGGTACTGAATCCCATTCAGGTGGCAGGCGTGGTGCTGGTGATGTTAGGAATAGCGATAGTTAGCGTGCAAACATGGCGGACACATCGCCAGAAGGAACGACAGAGGGAACTCTTTGAAACACTCCATTTTGATCCTAACGAAAAATAAGGCCATATGGAGATTAATAATTATAAAAAGTATTTGAAAAAGTATACGTGTCTTGGTGTTTGTAAATTGGATGTAAATTATTCTGTTTGTCTGCTCAATTTGAACGATTTTGCATTTATTAGTTTGATAAATGAATTGTCCATGGTATATAGTGAAATTAGCAATCAGACCATCAAATGTATCGCGTATCACCTATTGGTCCATATGTAATTGATTATATGTAGGGATACAAACCTACAGAATTTCTTTTAGATGTCCTTACAAACGACAGTTTGATCTTTTCTGTGGATTAAACACGTGCTCATAGATAGTAGAACAATATCAGCATAATTTTGATGATTCATATCGTTTTCTGATCATATGTTGCTGATGTGGCTGATTTGTAATTCTTATTTGGAACACAAAATTGAAGGTAGAAAATAGGTTGGTAGACAATTGCTGTACATGCCTGAACTGTATTGGATTGCATTGGATTAGGCTGTAGTAAAAATGTCATCATCCACTTTGCATCAAACCGTAATTTGTCTGCTTCAGTCCAAAGGGCCTCCTTTTTTCAGCACTAGTGTTTATGCTATGTGTCTCAGAACGAAACATTATCATTATTTTAAATATTTAAGTTTCCAAAAGCTGCATTAAATTTGTAACCTAGATTACTTTCATAGTGTTTTTTACGATACATTATCATCACCCAACAAAGCGTATCACTTTTTGCATACAGTTTTATAATTAGACTATATGTAAATTCAGTATCCATCCCGAATCAATAATCCAAAGAGTAACTTTTGGTACTCTGAACTTCCTGTAATGATCTCTACATCTAGAGTTAACATCCTATACAAAGAACGAAGACACTAGAATTTGCGGGATTAGTACTAGTAGTGTGAGATTGTGACGCCAGACTTGCCAGTATTCAGTTAAGCGAAGGAAATCTGCTGATCAAGATAGAGTACATATACGTAGGGCCAGTGCAGCTAATTGTGATCATAATTGATACAGATAAGGTCTCACAAAGCTGGTGTTTTCAAGCAGGGTACGTAAGACGCAAGCAATGCTGTAAGATTTGATTACCTCAAACCGAAAATGACTCCTGCACAGAAGTTAACGTTTGCACTGGACATGCCTAACGCAATATCATTTTCACCTTACTTGACTTCCCTAACATCATTGTTCATGTTTTTGTAAAGAATACAACATCAGGTATGACAAAACCTCTTGATTTCCAAACATTCTACCACACAATTTACGTGACTACTGAAGCTAGACCTAACATAACTTGGCAGAACTGGGCAATGTGCAAACTGTTAATTTGTCACTATGGATCCTCCAAGTAGTGAGAGAGTATTGTGACGTTACTGCTGTGAACATCAGTCACTACCAGCTGTCCACCGGGGGCTACTGCCACGCCGCCAGCTCTACTGGTAACAACGCGGCGCACGTACCGCCCGTCTTCTGTAAATATGTCTACCGCCCCGCCTGACCGGACCAGCAGAACGTTTCCTGAACCGTCTGTACAGATTCCCATGACTTCGTCTGCCTCATTCTCGTCGGCTTCGGTCATGTCCTCAAATTTGACTTCTTCCAGACCCAGGCCGATTTCTGTCTGACCCTCGCCGATTTCTGTCTGACCCTCGCCCATTTCTGCCAGACCCAGGCCGATTTCTGTCTGACCCTCGCCCATTCCTGCCAGACCCGGGCCGATTTCTGTCTGACCTTCGCCCATTTCTGCCAGACCCATACCGATTTCTGTCTGACCCTCACCAATGTTGTCATCCCCCAAACTGAAAAGGTACTGACCCGTGTTGTTATAGACGTGCACGCGTGCATCTGCGTAACTGTCGGCCACAAACAGGTTTCCCTCCCGTCCCACAGCGACCACCCCAGGGAGGTCCCCCAAGACCTGCTGCACCTGAAACCTGCGCTCTACAGTACCATTGAAATGCAGAAGCTTGACTTCCCCATAATCCCACCAGTGCTCTGTCGCTACGACAAGATTACGAAGTGTGTCCACCGTCATGGCATAGAAGGAATTATTGCTGAACGTTGCGCGGAGTGTTGTTAGGTAACTTCCCATTTTTGTATACCGAACAATAAACCCTGACGTATATTCTGTACCCCCGAGAACCCACACATGGCCCTCCCCGTCGATGGAGATGTCATCGGGTTCAAACGTCTCGGAGTTTTCCCCCGAGATAACGGTGGGGAATTGGCGGAGGGAGATGCCCTTCATGCTGAAGACTTGAACCTGCCTGTTGTAGGTGTCAGCTATGAATATTTCGTTGCCAGGCGACACGGCGACAGAGTTCAGTCCGAAACACTCGGCCGATTCTTCACCGTTTCGTCCGAAGACGATCGTCGTTTGCTTGAGCTCTTTATTTTCTTTCTCTAAAAAAAATAAGAAACTTTATAGCTCAATAGATTTTTTTAAGAAAAAATTTTTGAGTCCAGAAATTTTTTTTCAGTTACATTTCATTTTAACAATGTAATCTTTGATAAAACTTGTAGCATTATTAATATCGTTTTCATGTTCAAATCGTGTATATGATCAGGCAAGTGATTCTAAATCACGAGCTATTCATCTGTGATGATGTGAAAGTACTTGACCAATAAAAATTAAAAAGATAAGTTATGAATGAATCTGGTTATTTCACTGTTAACATTTTTTGTAGTTCAATGATTAACATTGTATTCATTTAGCAATTTCAAACGCAACTGAACTGAACGATGAATCACCTTTTATTTCTGGGAGTAACGTGTAGTCCATGTTCTGGGTTACGCCATCTGACCTTATATTTGTTATGGTGGGGTTTGTCCATGTCTGAGATGGGAAAGAACCAAAGAGTCGTTACAAACATCTGCAAAGGAAACAACGTTAAATGTCTCAAGTTCACAACTAGAAAATCCATCTTCTGTTTCAGAACAATCGTGTCGCCTATCTCTTAACAGTCTTAAACAGAAATCACACTGCTGAAGCCACGGGCAAATCAAGACCATTTACCGTTTGCGTGTTACTGTCTTCCTTCCTTGGCTTGAAGATCGCGGCCAGAACCAGTGTCACCACGACCAAGCCTAAAGTGATTGCACATGCCAGACATACACATCTATGATCTGGACAGCAAGAAGGAAAATAATAAGAAACATAAGAATAAGAACATTACCAACGAAGGTATACAGGATACCATTCCTCTCAACGGGTATTAATCAAAGTGACGTTTTCTACCTCTTCTTTTCTACTAGACATTAACTAGACGAGACTAAAAATTTAGAATTTAACTATAATTTTAAAAGAAATAAACTAGATGGAGGGGGGGGGTGTCAGACCAGTAAAGTTTTTCACTAATCTTCTGGTCATGCGCAATTTATAGCTAAATCAGTTTTAAAGGCACACCTAACAGTGAATAACAAAATAATATTAGTAACAGAACCCAATTGATACCTGCTTCAGATACCCTGTCTGAAAAGCAACCGATATTTTAAAAGTTGCCGGATATGATAAAGGTTGTTCCATTGAAGTTATTTTGACATACAGACAAGCAAATACGATGTTTCTTTATTTCTTATTTATCTCAAGTGAAATAAAAAAAAAAACATTTTAGTTGGGTGACACCTCACCTCTATCTGCCCTAGGCTGTGCAACATTTGGGGCGTACATGGGGTTTTGGTGTAACACGTTCCCGCTGTACATGGGGTTGGGCAGTAATCCGTCCTTCTTGCCGTCAGCAGATTCTGCAGATAAAATTAAGGAAGAGGTTTGTTCGATTTATAGACTGCCGTGTCTTCCGACACATGGGCAATCATGCTCCAATAGGTTCGGTCAGAGGTGTCCAGATGTTAACCTAGATTGCTACTTTTAATTCGTCGTATCTTTTAGCTCGTTAGTACAAGCTGTAGCTATCACTCTGCACGGATCTTGATAAATAATATGCCTAAAATGATATTCATATAGCTCTATAAAATAGCTAATTTCTTCAAGAAAAAACCGCGTAAACTGCATTTAAAGATTGTTCCAAGCAAAAATTTGGTTAATCAAATATACCCGATGTCACACATCCTGAACTCGATGTGACACACCAACATTAAGTATAATGCCTCTGCCATACATACATAAACATTTTCTTATCGAAATTGGCATAATGGAGTGTTTATTTTGTCGTGGTGACATGGTGACTTCACACTTAAGTTTTCTCTACTTATTCTATGCCAACACCAACGTAGAGGACAACTGTATGATCTTATGAAGGGACACCTGAGTTGAGTGAGGAAAGTCGTGTAAAGTGCCTTTCCAAGGGCACGAGATCGGTGGCATGGCAGGATTCGAACCCGGGACCTCTTGGTTCCGAACCGAACGCTTTGTCTTTACGCCCAACGACCCCACATTTGTCATTGGTTTCATTGGTTAATAACAAGTTTCGTTGGTTAACAAGTTTCCTTTGTTAACAAGTTTCCTTTAACTTATTATAAGCGTGTAACGGTGACAAACTAACCTGGACTGGTGTTGGGTTGTCCACATGCGCTTTGAGAATTATCGACAGAATGGCCAGGCAGTGGTTGTTCGTCATAAACAACGGCGTAGGGTTGGATGTCAATGATATCGTCCTCTTCACCGTTTGGTTTTCCATCCTGTTGATACGCGATTGCATACGGACGGATAGAACTATCGTCTGCAGTGACACCCTCCTCCGACTTATTCTCATCGGGGCTTTCGGCATCCTTCAATTGTTTGCTGACAGACTGGTCGAAGTCGTCTGCTTCTGTATTTCTACCATTGTCCACACTTGCATCGTCGACCTCTCCACCACATTGATAGGCAGTGGATGATGCTTCTTTAACGAAGGTATCCCTCAGCTGGTATTGTCCTACGTTATTTGCGTTATGACCTTTGGTATCGTAGATGTCGGTTGACGTGGGGTCTCCTGCGTCTACCTGTGAATTATCAGCATAGAGTGCTTGGTTCTGTATAACTCGGTCAACGTGCGTACATGCCTGACTCTGCTTAGTTTTGCCGATGTTTGTATAAGAAGTGCAGAAAGTCTGTAATAATGTACGTTCTGCAACGTTGTCAGGGCTGTAACCATGTCCGTCGTTCTGGTCAGTTTGTTCGGCCGAAGTGTCGCAATGGACGCCCTGCAACGGGTCTTTCATATGGCCGGGTGGGGTGTCTTGCCGCTCCTCTGGACCGGTCGGGACCCAGTGGGGCTGGCTGCCCTGTTGATCTACAGGATCCATCGTGGAGTCAGCAGAGTCTCGGGTATGTAGAATATCATCCATTCGAATGTTTGAGTCAGAATCAATGCCGGTAATTCTTTAACACCATCTACATCACCGGCAGTCTTACAGCCCCTGAAAAGGTGAGGAGCGCACGAAAGCCAGCCATATTGCAGAGTGGTGGTTTTTTTTAGGTTTCTGTGGTTTTCTTGTAGCATTTTTACATTATTTTTACATATATTTATTTAAGCCCATATATTGGGTCGTAGACAATCTTTGTATTGATTTAAAGACGGCTGGTCGCAGCGATTAGATACATATTATTTACTATTAGTCTAGCCAATTGCTGAAATTAATTTATTCCTAACGGAATGTCCAGTGATTGATTGTTGTTTTGGAAAATTTATTGTGATTTTTAAGTTTAAACATTTATTGATGCTGCCCTTTAACGTGCCCTATACAAGATTGCAAACCTATGATTACTATCTTTATGCTAATTATATATAGCAAACGTATAATTACCCTTTTTCATACTTATCATTGGTTCCTCAACCTTTTCTTTAAAAAAATGACAAAGAAAGATAGATATATAGTTTGATTACACCTAACAAACATCAAAATGAGTCCACGTTTAATCAAAGAACAATATCAGCATAATTTTGATGATATTTCTTTGATTCATATCGTTTTCTGATCATATGTTACTGATGTGGCTGATTTGTAATTCTTATTTGGAATACAAAATTCAAGGTAGAAAATAGGTTGGTAGACAATTTCTGTACATACCTGATATGTATTGGATTGTATTGGATTAGGCTGTAGTAAACATGTCATCATCCACTTTGAAGCAAACCGTAATTTGTCTGCTTCAGTCCAGATGGCCACCTTTTTTTTCAGCACTAGTGTTTATGCTATGTGTCTCAGAACGTAACATTGTCATTATTTTAAACATTCAACTTTCCAAAAGCTGCACTAAAGTTGTGACCTAGATTACTTTTACAGTGTTTTTGTTGACGATACATTCATATTATCATCACCAAAGAAGGTGTATCACTCTTTGCATATAGTTTTATAATTAGACTATATGTTACTTCTGTAACATCCTTCACAAAGAACGAAGACACTAGAATTAGCGGGATTAGTACAAGTAGCGTGAGATTGTGACGCCAGATTTGCCAGCATTCAGTTAAGCGAAGGGAATCTGGTGATCAAGATAGAGTACATATACGTAGGGCCAGTGCAGCTAATTGTGATCATAATTAATACATATAAGGTCTCACAGGGCTGCTGTTTTCAAGCAGGGTACGTAAGACGCAAGCAATGCTGCAAGATTTGATTACCTCAAACCGACAACCTCCAGCACAGAAGATAACGTTTGCCTTGGACATCCTTAACGCAGTATCAAACAGGTGCTTGATACACATTTTCACCTTCCTTGAATTCCCTAACATCATTGTTCATGTTTTTGTAAAGAATACAACATCAGGTATGACAAAATCTCTTGATTTCCAAACATTCTACTACACAGTTTACGTGACTACTGAAGCTAGACCTAACATAAATTGGCAGAACTGGGCAATGTGCAAACTGTTAATTTGTCACTATGGATCCTCCAAGTAGTAAGAGAGTATTGTGACGTTACTGCTGTTAACAATAGTTACTACCAGATGCCCACCGGGAGCTACTGCCACGCCGCCAGCTCTACTGGGACCAACGCGGCGCACGTACCGCCCGTCTTCCGTAAACATGTCTACCGCCCCGCCTGACCGGACCAGCAGAACGTTTCCTGAACCGTCTGTACAGATTCCCATGACTGCCTCATTCTCGTCGGCTCCGGTCATATCCTCGAATTTGACTTCTTCCAGACCCAGGCCGATTTTTTCCAGACCCAGGCCGATTTCTTCCAGACCCAGGCCCATCTCTGTCTGACCCTCTCCCATTTCTTCCAGACCCAGGCCCATCTCTGTCTGACCCTCTCCCATTTCTGCCTGGCCCAGACCCAGGCCGATTTCTTCCAGACCCAGGCCGATTTCTTCCAGACCCAGGCCCATCTCTGTCTGACCCTCTCCCATTTCTTCCAGACCCAGACCCATCTCTGTCAGACCCTCTCCCATTTCTTCCAGACCCAGGCTGATTTCTGCTTGACCCTTACCAATGTTGTCATCCCCAAAACTGAAAAGGTATTGACCCGTGTTGTTATAGACGTGCACGCGTGCATCTCCGTAACTGTCGGCCACAAACACGTTTCCCTCCCGTCCCACAGCGACCACCCCAGGGGGGTCCCCAAAGAACTGCTGCACCTGAAACCTGTGCACTACAGTGCCATTGAAATGCAAAATCTTTACTTCCCCATAATCCCACCAGTGCTCTATCGCTACGACTAGATTACGAAGTGTGTCCACCGACATGGCAGAGAAGGAATTATTGCTGAACGTTGCACGGAGTGTTGTTAGGTGACTTCCCATTTTTGTATACCGCACAATAAACCCTGACGTATATTCTGTAGCCCCAAGAACCCACACATGGCCCTCCCCGTCGATGGAGATGTCATCGGGTTCAAACGTCTCGGAGTTTCCCCCCGAGATAACGGTGGGGAAATGGCGGAGGGAGATGCCCTTCATGCTAAAGACTTGAACCTGCCTGTTGTAGGTGTCAGCTATGAATATTTCGTTGCCAGGCGACACGGCGACAGAGTTCAGTCCGAAACACTCGGCCGATTCTTCACCGTTTCGTCCGAAGACGATCGTCGTTTGCTTGAGCTCTTTATTTTCTTTCTCTAAAAAAATAATAAGAAACTTTATAGCTCAATAGATTTTTTTAAGCAAAAATTTTTGAGTCCAGAAATATTTTTTTCAGTTACATTTCATTTTAACAATGTAATCTTTGATAAAACTTGTAGCATTATTAATATCGTTTTGATGTTCAAATCGTGTATATGATCAGGCAAGTGATTCTAAATCACGAGCTATTCATCTGTGATGATGTGAAAGTACTTGATCAATAAAAATTAAAAAGATAAGTTATGAATGAATCTGGTTATTTCACTGTTAACATTTTTTGTAGTTCAATGATTAACATTGTATTCATTTAGCAATTTCAAACGCAACTGAACTGAACGATGAAACACCTTTTATTTCTGGGAGTAACGTGTAGTCCATGTTCTGGGTTACGCCATCTGTGTTTATATCTGTCAAGGTGGGGTCTGTCCAGGTCTGAGATGGGAAAGAACGAAGGAGTCGTTACAAACACATGCAAAGTAGAAATGCACACTAAAAATCCATCTTTTGTTTCAGAACAATCGTGTCGCATATCTCTTAACAGTCTTAAACAGAAATCACACTGCTGAAGCCACGGGCAAATCAAGACCATTTACCGTTTGCGTGTTACTGTCTTCCTTCCTTGGCATGAAGATCGCAGCCAGAACCAGTGTCACCACGACCAAGCCTAAAGTGATTGCACATGCCAGACATACACATCTATGATCTGGACAACAAGAAGGAAAAGAAAGGAAAAAAGAAAAAAGAAACAATTAAAACATTACATTCCTTTCTACGGGTATTAATCAATGTGATGTTTTTTTACTACTACTTCTTCTTCTCTCCTTTTCTACTTAGTACTAGACATTAACCCTCTCTTTCTCCTCCACCGAATTAGACATACACTAGACTTAGTTTAAACCTTGTTGCCGGATATAAAGGCTGTTCCATTGAAGTTATGTGGACATACAGACAAGCGAACACGATGTTCATTTGTGGCAATGCAAGTGAAATACAGAAACCCTTTGTTAAAAGAAACATTTTAGTTGGGCAACACCTTACCTCCACCTGCCCTTGGCTGTGCAACATTTGGGGCGTACATGGGGTTTTGGTGTAACACGTTACTGCTGTATATGGGGTTGGGCAGTAATCCGTCGTTCTTGCCGTCAGCAGATTCTGTAGATAAAATTAAGTTAGAGGTTAGTTACATTTAGGGGCTGCCATGTCTTCCCATACATGGGCAATCATGCTGGCCCAGTAGTAGGTTCGGTCAGAGGTGTCCAGATGTTAATCTTAGTTGATATTTTAATTCGTCGTATCTTTTCGCTCGTTAATACAAGCTGTAGCTACCACTCTGCATGGATCTTGATGAATAATATGCCTAAAATGATATTCATAACCGTATATAGCTTTATAAAATAGCTCATTTCTTTAAGAAGGAACCACGTGAACTGCATTTAAAAGATTGTTCCAAGCAAAGATTTGGTTAATAATCAAATATTCTCGATGTCACACATCCTAAACATGATGTGACACACCAACATTAAGTATAATGCCTGTGCCATACATAAAGGAGTGTTTATTTTGTCGTGGTGACATGGTGACTGCACACTTAAGTTTTCTCTTCTTAGGCCATGTTGATTTGATTATATGGATGACATCCTCTGGGAACCCCAAAACTGATGCGCGCGTGCGAATAAAAAAAAGTTTTGCAAAAAAAAAGTTGCTTTCACTATGAAATATCACGGTGGTAAAATCTGGGTTGCAAAGTTCCCACATGCCATAGAACCCGAACTGTGTTCGATAGTGTTCGATCTGGGCAATTCGAATCGAACCCGCGTTCTATTTCGGGGTCACCTGCGGCCATTTACAATTAAGCGGCAAAACAAGCCTTTCTGCCTCCGTGTCTTGCAACAGATAAAAAACAACACTTTTCTATAGATACAAACAGTTTCGTGGACAATACATGTCCGCTATCATTTTTTGTGGACATGTAACATGTAGCGAAGCTACTGTCGTATCCTTGGGTGACCTTGAATACTGTAATGATTCTTTACACCAGTATGAATAACACAATGCAGACTTTTGGTCGACATGACATGCCTGCAAAACTCGTTTTAACCTGCAAGCATGGAAAGTCAAGCATACCCCATTCACGGCTCAAAATGACCGTTACGGTTGTCCCGAAAATCGTGTTTTAGGGATTTTTGAAAAATGGCCTCAATTTTGAATTATGGGTAATTTAGTGCGAAAAATGTAAAAACAAATCATTTTTTCACCAATATGTCGACAAAAACTAGACTTAAAATCAGAAATTAAAAAAATCCCTAAAACACGATTTTTTTATCTTATTCCTAGTCGTCGAAAAATATAAAAATCGGTAATCTGGGGTAATATACGTAGCTAGGTTAAAACGATGTTTGCCTAAAAACATAGCATGACTTGTGGTCGGAAACCCGAAAAAAATCGTCTTTCGGAGCGAAATTTTGAAAAATCAATGATTTAACATAAACAGCTAATATTGAAAGGATGTTAAGGCAATAATTTCATTTTAATTTGACGAAATTTACCATTGAATCCTTTTTGTTTATTTTCAAGTGTTTTACTGGTAGGCCAAAACCGGCCAAAATAGCGTATTGTAACCCGATACCTTTTAGAACGCGCCTAGCAATGGGAAAGAATACCGAAGTGACAGACCACCGTGTATACGTGGTCATGAAGGTTGAACAAATGGCACAAAATATGTTATGGTGAATAATCTACTCTTCGAATTCATTTCTTAAATTTTTGTCTTTTTTCCTTTGATTTTGGCATTCTACGACATTGATATCGTTTCTAAATGTTTTCCTTGCAACTTATGGTATATTTTTGCTCATTTAGCAACTGTTTTGCACGATTTACAGTATGGTTGAAAACCTTTTTTTTTAAAACGGCCGAAAATTCATGCGCGCGCGGATGTCATCCATATAATCAAATCAACCTGGCATTATTCTATGCCAACACCAACGTAGAGGACAACTGTATGATCTTATGAACGGACACCTGAGTTGAGTGAGGAAAGTCGTGTAAAGTGACTTTCCAAAGGGCACAAGATCGGTGGCATGGCAGGACTCGAACCCGGGACCTCTTAGTTCCGAACCGAACGCTTTGTCTTTACGCCCAACGACCCCACATTTGTCATTGGTTTCATTGGTTAATAACAAGTTTCGTTGGTTAACAAGTTTCCTTTGTTAACAAGTTTCCTTTAACTTACTATAAGCGTGTAACGGTGACAAACTAACCTGGACTGGTGTTGGGTTGTCCACATGCGCTTTGAGAATTATCGACAGAATGGCCAGGCAGTGGTTGTTCGTCATAAACAACGGCGTAGGGTTGGATGTCAATGATATCGTCCTCTTCACCGTTTGGTTTTCCATCCTGTTGATACGCGACTGCATACGGACGGATAGAACTATCGTCTGCAGTGACACCCTCCTCCGATTTAGACTTATTTTCATCAAAGCTTTCGGCATCCTTCAATTGTTTGCTGACAGACTGGTCGAAGTCGTCTGCTTCTATATTTCTACCATTGTCCACACTTGCATCGTCGACCTCTCCACCACATTGATAGGGAGTGGATGATGCTTCTGTAACGAAGGTATCCCTCAGCTGGTATTGTCCTAAGTTATTTGCGTCATGACCTTTGGTATCGTAGATGTCGGTTGACGTGGGGTCTCCTGTGTCTACCTGTGAATTATCAGCATAGAGTGCTTGATTCTGTATAACTCGGTCAACGTGCGTACATGCCTGACTCTGCTTAGTTTTGCCGATGTTTGTATAAGAAGTGCAGGTAGTCTGTAATAATGAACGTTCTGCAACGTTGTCAGGGCTGTAACCATGCCCATCGTTCTGGTCAGAGTGCTCGGCCGAAGCGTCGCTACGGACGCCCTGCCATGGGTCTTTCACATGGCCGGGTGGGGTGTCTTGCCGCTCCTCTTGACCGGTCGGGACCCAGTGGGGCTCGCAGCCCTGTTGATCTACAGGATCCATTGTGGAGTCAGTAGAGTCTCGGGTATGAAGTGGCTCTGCTTGTGCAGCTTCCATCTTTTTCAGCTATGTAGAACATTAGCTGCCTTGTTCATCGCAACCATTCAAATGTTTGAGTCAGAGCAATGCCGGTAATTCTTTTACACCACCTGCATCACCGGCAGTCCTACAGCTCCTGAAAAGGTGAGGAGCGCACGAAAGCCAGCTGTATTGCAGAGTGATGTTGTTTTAGGTTTCTGTGGTTTTCTTGTAATATTTTATACATAGTTATTATTTGAGACCATATTAATCACATTGGGTCAGTAGACAATCTTCGCACCAATTTAAAGACGGCTGGTCGCAGCGATTAGATACTTATTTCGTACTGTTAGTCTAGCCAATTGCTGAAATTAATTCATTCCCAACGGAATGTCCAGTGATTGGAAAATTTATTGTAATTCTTAAGTTTAAACATTTAGTGATGCTGCCCTTTAACGTTATACAAGGTTGCAAACCTATGATTACTATCTTTATGCTACTTATATATTGCAAACGTATACCCTTTTTCATACATAGCATTGGTTCCCATACCAAAGAAACGTATGTTAGTAATAAAAATAAATACGTTTTTGTGCTTCTCTTGTTGCGATGTGTACGAAGTAGTGTACACTGCATTGACTATGAATTCTGTTTTTAGCTATAAAGGCTTGGCCATGGATTTGGACTGGCAAATCTCTAGTATGGAAGGTAATTGACTTATTAGGATATCTTAATTTAGGCCACTTCCGATCGGTGACTTCATTTCGTCAGAAGACAGAACTTGTAGCTGGGAGCCAACGGTTATGTTACCTTATGATTAATTGCACACTTGTATATAGTGATTATTTTCTTCTTATTTATTATTGTATTTTATCCTCAGTTACTTCGTTTGTATTTTACTATGTTGGGGTTTACCCCCCAGGTATCATTGAAAAACGCCGACTAGGCGATATGTATCACCTGGATAAATAAATGAAATGAAATGAAAATGATGAACGGTAAATCAGGCTTGTGGTATATGTTTACGTGTATGTACGTATCCGTCTGTAAGTCATGTCTAAAAATTTTATTGACGACACCTTGTGCTGAAGATGAGTAACATTCTCTTGATGATTTGTCCAATTTCTTACGAACGCTTGTCCTTACACGAAACTGTTCTACAGTTACTCGCTTCGAGATTGTCCGACAACCTCTATCCACAGGGAAAGCGAGATGCCATGAAACTGTCCAACAGTTTTACGCACCAAATTTTGAGACTGTCCGACAGTCTCTACCACCTCAGCACTCAGGGAACGTGGGAATTCTGCTTGGAACCAGAATCGTGCCGACATCCCAGAATCACAGGAAATGGCGAGACCAAACGGAGCTAACTCTCACGCTACCTTTCGCTGGGACTAGCTTCGCAAAACTGATGAAATAGAAGGGGTTGGTCACATGGCCTGACATCTCGCTGAACAAGAGTCTCGCGAGATGTCAGTCCATTGTGACGTAAGTGGGAATATCCGTATTTATCCAGTAGTGCAATCTGTATTATCGGTGTGTTGAGATCACTGGATGCTTGAGAAAGCAAAGGTGTAAAAGATTCTATGCGTTCTCTTTACTTAAACATTGTGGATACTATCACTTACTTTCTCTTCGTCACGTACTGTCATCCTCATCGAGGTTAAGAAGACATTTTCTATTCTTGTTAACATACACTTGTTAATATATACATGTTGGACGAAATATCAAGCATGCTGAATCTATGTACTAAAAGAAAATTCAAGATGGCTTTTTTCTCTTTGTTTTTCATGCCTTCACTTCGAGTGTGGCTCGATGTTAGAATTACGTTATCTTTAACGCCTATTTTTAAGGAGAAACAACCCGAATACGTCAAAGATGTTATCTTTTGCCAACTGATAGTGGCGGGTGCATATGCGTAAAGCGTACACGAAACCTCTTGACTGTGTTCACCGCTACAATATCAACAACACCCTGTAGGTGAAGCATATAAGAGAGTGGGCTGCCCAGACTAGTTAACCAGACAAGTGCAACCTTACCACCACATCAATGAAGGGTCAAATCCGGTCTTATGCCCCTTAAAGCCATGATACCTTTTTGTATTTTATCCTCAAATATTTAATGTTACCTTTGAGATCGAAATGAAACGAAACGATATGTCAGTTGCTCGAGTATCTTGGCAATGTACAAGAGGATACATATGCTGTTCAATTTGAACAATTTCATAACGTAAAAATAAATTTTATTACTTTTAAATTAATAGAAAGAAATAAACCTGGCGTACGGCATGTTATTTCTATTCTGTCATAGAATATGGGAAATCATTGAAAGGTTTTCTTTTTACGGAGGCATTTACGTATTTCAGAGCTTTTTTTCAGCGTTTTTAGCTTAAGAAACCTTCCATCACTAATTCTCAGATTGCTTTGGTCCAGACGGGAATGGGACCTTCCAAGTTCCTTCCATCATTTGAGGTAGTAATTAGAATAAAAGTTGGAAATTACAGTTTACACTTGCTGCAAAATGACTTTAAGATTAAGACGATATGACGATAAGATTAGAATAAAATCTTCAGAGTCAGATTGTGGGTGCAGAAACAGCTATCCTTATTTGGAAGAAACGTCTAATTTTTCTACCGTCTCTGAGAAAAGAGGACATTAAAGACGACATTAAAGTTTCATTTCTTTTAAATCTAAGCTGAACGAAAGACAGACATAAAATAACAGAATAAAAGAATGAAAAGGTTGAGCTTATGGGACATGAGTACGGATTTTCCCATCCGTTGAAGTGCAGCGTGTCTAAGTACTTTCATTGTTAACTAGTCTGAACCGCCCAGTCCCTCATACCCTTCACCTACCAATGCAGTTGAGGATTGATGGTAGACGTGGCAGGTGGTATTTGGTGATAGTTACCGTGTACTCCTGTACGTGCGTGTACCAACAGAGTCAGTGGGTACCACTTCTTATTTTATCCTGGACTCCTGACAAAAGTTTCCCTCAAGCCAAAAGGATACTGATATCCTCACTAAAAATTATAACCTTCATGCACCAAGAGGGATTCTGACGTGAACCGGGACGAAACCAAACTGATCCAGGCCATCATCACATCTTGTCGTGCCAGAATCACTACCAGTTAGCATCAGGTAAACCTGTTTGCAAAGGGGAAGATTTCTAAAAAAAAACAGGTTAGGAGGCCTTTAGTTGAATGTTTTATTTATTTACAATTTTAACCTGAGAATGGAAAATCAGTAAATCTCGCTTTTTCCTGCATGCCATTCTTTTGAAATTATTATATTGCAGAAAAAAGTGTCTTTCGATCAATTTGGTCATTACTAGTGTTGATTTGTCCCTTTTCAGCAAACATCTCTATAGCCCTACTACACCTAGCTGCATGATCACAGCTATTACTTTAGTCCCAATTGACAATGTAGGAAATGTAGGAAACCCCTGCTTATAATTGCATACACTTGACTTTTCTCACACAGATAATGTTCAGCAGACTTGTCAGACTTCTGGTTCTTCTGCTGATGGAAAGCGGTTCTGTAAGCTCGTGGTGTGCTGACTGTGCCCATGCCGAGTACTGTCGTGACAAAGGCCTGAAGAGGGTTCCACAAGATCTACCCACAAGTGTCGATTGCCTTGAGTGTGGGAAAAACGCCATCGTATCCTTAACTCAGTCTGACTTCTCCAGGTACACTCAGTTAAAAGGGATTTATTTATATGAAAATAATATAACCGTCATTCAGAATGGCACATTCAGAAACCATCCCCAGCTTGATTGTTTGAAAATAAATGACAACCTAATAACTGATATTAAACAGAACGCATTTTCAAATCTACCTCAGCTTCAGGAGATGAACCTGACAAATAACAAAATAGCAAGTATTCAACGTGATTCATTTTTTAACCTACCCCGGATTGTCAGGTTGGGACTACAACGTAACGAGATAACTGGTATTAAACATGGTTTATTTTCAAATTTACCCCACCTTTTCGTGTTGGATCTGTCTAAAAACAAGATAACTAATATTCAATGTGGTTCCTTTTCGAATTTACCCAAGCTTGTATGGCTCTTTCTGTCCTCTAACCGGATAAATGATATTAAACCTTGTACTTTTGCAAACTTACCAAACCTCGGCAATTTGAAACTGGACAACAACAAAATAAGTGTAATTCCGTACCGCTTATTTTCAACTCTCCCCAAACTCAAGAGGCTTACACTACATGACAACCTCATTACAGCTCTGTCAGAATATAATGAGTTGATGTCGATTGCAAACGTAAACCTTGAGAACAACCCATGGCGGTGTGACTGTAGAATGCGTCCATTTAGACAAAAGATGGTTGGAAAAGTATCCGAGGATTGCATCATATGTAAAGAGCCAAGTCGTTTCTCCGGGCGAAAGCTTAAAGATATAAATCCCGATGATCTGATCTGTAAAGAACCATATATAGTAACGTTTAAGATGATAAATGGAAACAGGCCAGTGTTAGAAGGGGAGACACTCTTTCTAAAGTGTGACGTATCGGGAATTCCGTCCCCAGACATCACAGTCACTCTCCCTTCTGGCAGGAATTTAACTGTTGACTCAGGTGGGAGAGTGACTGTGGAGGCTAACTTTATCATTGCCATAGAGAACATTACCACTACAGATTCTGGTCTGTACGTCTGTTTGGCAGCGAGTCCTGTTGGCTCCACGTCTGCCAAACTGTCTATTTACGTACACAGACCAGAATCTGTAAGCTCCACGTCTGTTCACGTACACGGACCAGCATCTGTAAGCTCCACGTCTGTTCACGTACACGGACCAGCATCTGTAAGCCCCTCAATGTTCTTTAAATTTGTACGTGGGAAAGTTTCAGACAAAACACTTTTCTATCTTTACGGTGGCCTTGGTGCTGCTGGGGCATTGTTGAAATGTTATATTCTCATTGTAATGTGCTATAAGAGACGTACCAAAAAGAAACCTCCTTTGGTATCGGTAACCT